ATGCATTGGCTTCGGCGGCTACTGTAGTATGTATGCTTATCATTGATTTTGACTGCCTTTATAAATTGAAATATATTTTATGGAAAACAAGCATAAAAATATTTCTTTTACTTGTTTTGTCGGAAATTACGCCTTCTTTAAATTCTGTACTTAAGGGAAGAGTATCTTTCGGTTTTAAAAAAAGTTTCTAAATTGCTGAATAATTTTTAAACCTACTGACTGCTACCTATGAATTCAAGGTTTACAAATTGCGCGCTGTGTACATCCTGTGTAAGGAAGAGTACGTTTTCGCCAATGGTTTGAAGAAGAAGTCATATAGTCCTTAGAAAATATTGCAACAGATATCGAAAATGTTGTATACATGATAAGCAGCATTAATAAATGGACGGATGTGATGTATAATGAATGAACATCTCACAATTATAAGAAAACTCCTAATTATAAACTTTTTTATAACCGAACTATACCCTTTCTTAAGTACGACATTTAAAGAAGGCGTAATTTCCTAAAAAAACTGAAATGACTTTAGAATAGACTCAACGCTTATCAGTATTACAACCTTACTCAATGCCGATTAGCAAAAGCATATCAATCTTTCGCATATTTCGGCATGCTACACGAATTCCAGGCCGTACACCACTTACGCTGGCCAGAGCCACTAGCATCTGGTGTGATCCATTTTAGATTTACGGTCAGTGGCTGATCTCAGCTAAAAGCTGCAATGTGTTCGATCAAGAAGGAGCACGCAAGTTATGTTTAAATGTTTGCGCGCTTGAAGATTCTCTCGAGATATTTCAGCCATTCACTGATGTCATTCTTTGAATATTTTTCATTTTTGCCACCTCAAAATCCATGTTTAATTAAAAGGACTGGTTAAGTAGAAATTATTTTTCATCGATTAGATTTCTAAGTTATCGAGCATTCAAATACATTTTATAAAAAGGTATAATATAAAAAATAGTCTTTCTTGGACTCATTTGGTAGTAAATCAGAATTTTTATATTTATTTCGGTTTTTAAAGTAAACAAGGGATTGGTTATCGTAAGCACATTGCTGGATGCATGCCCGTAATTATGTATGCTGCGTGGTGGCAAATTCATTACCTAAAACAGCAATAAAACAATTTTTTTTACCGAAAGTACATTTACGCATTTTGGTTGCTATCCATGAAAAAAGTAAACCGTATGTGTATTCTAAAAGTATATATAAACGGACTGCTTGCACACCAGAAAGTAAATCCGCATTTGCACTAAAAAGTATGGGTTCCCATGTTCCTTTTTAAAGTAGCAAACGATTTTAATAGAAGTATCTCCACATGGCCGCATTCTCTAGTCCGTAAAAAGTAGATGAGTCCTGAATGTGCGCCTGTCAGGTCGCGGAGGCGATCGTATGTCGGTCTTGTTTTATGCACCGCTCGAGAAGCGGGATTACGTTTACAAACCCAATCCAAAACGATAAAGTATAATGAGACAGAACCCGATTGGTGAGCATGTAGTCGACAAAGATAAAAGTCCTGGTTGAAACCCTCATGGCAAAGGGTTAGAGCATTGGACTTCTATGTATCAGGTCTCGGGTTTGAGGCTTGGGTGATGCACAACCTGGAATGCTGCATGTCTGGCTGATGATGTTTAATAAGCTGGAAAGGTCTATTCCAGATTCATCCGTCTTTGTTAGTTATTCTCCTCTCCTCAGGTTGCCATCCACCGTGCGCCTGCTGGTGGGGCTCAAGAGTAAATGACCCAGAATAGGACGGTATGGGTGGGTGTTGCACTCACCAATGGAATAAGAAACCCCCCACACCATACAGTGATGCCGTGCTAAATTTTGGAGGAAACACATATTTACCCGGTTAAATCCAAACACTAACCCTAGCCCATTTCTAAAAGTTACCCCATCTTAGCAATAATTATATCCGTAACCCTGACCTTTACCCCAACGCTAATTATATACTCATACGCTGTGGCAGAGCTGTATTCATAAATATTGCCCTCCAGTTGGCTTAAGGTTATACATTCTGAGGGTTTTCGTCAAAGTGTGTCAAAGGGTAACAAACAGCTATACAAGGGATGCAATTTAGCATTTTTGCTGAGTCATTCTATCAGAGTCCTTCTTACATATACCAATAATGCGGTTTTTGTATCGCCCTTAAATCTAATGATTTTGAAAAAGCGATATATTTTACCGAAATAAAAGCTGTTGTGGCCTGTAAGAGGGCTTTTTTCTGACTGTTAATACCGATAGTGCCAAAATGTTTATCTTTCACATTTCCGGCATTTCGTCAGAGGTTTGGTGGCTGTGCAGCCCATCTGTGCTATTATTTATCAACTTGAAAGAGGATATCTCAACTCAACCATCGTCCATAAAGTTTATGATTCGTAGCTTAGACGGATGCCAAGCCAGACAAATATCCACATCATGGTCGAGTAAGCGATGGACGATAAAAAATAGTCCCCCCCCAAGGCCAACTAACTTAGCAGTTCTCTATGTCTAGGCCTTAGTACTTCCATTCCGGTGAGCCGCCCAGCCTTCCTTCCCAAATCATCATCCCGGAATCCGCATCCTTGCCAACCAGAGCCCTGGGCAGGAGAGAGCTTCTAGACAAGGCTATTTTTGCATTTTCTTGGACCGGCCGTCTACACACTCACATTTAAAAAAAGCGCGAAATAACAAAAGTCTAGATGGCAAAAGTAGCTTATGTAGCCCCACTCATATACCCCTAGTCCCAGCAT